GAGGAGAGTTGTAAGCCTCCGATATTTGTAATCTTAGTTAGGTTTGAAATATGAAGGATGGATCAGAATTTTCATTCCAAGTTGACTAAGTAACAGTAAAAGGATTAGCATCCATTTTAGCAGAATAGGACTTGATGTTTTGTTTTTCTCAGAGCTGGTTGGCAGCAAACAGTATGTCTCCAAGTCTGTGGTGTCACCATTAGCTGGAGTCCAATGAAGAAGGTTCAGAAGTTTCTGGAAATGTGAAAGTGCAATCAGCCTTGATCATTTCAGGAGTCCATCAAGGTTGTCTGTGTTTAAAAGAAACGGAATTTAAACATGAAAATATGAAAGAGAATGCAATTTCTTTTCAAATTTCTTTTCATGCTTTCTGACCAGTACAAAGAGCTCAATTATGAGAAGAAACTACACAAACTAAGATTGTTTTCACTGGAATTGAAAAGCTTAAAGGATGATCCAATAAACTTGTTTTAGATTTGAAAGGGAACAAATAATGTAGATGGAGAGAAACTATAGTATTTCCAGTGGTTGGTGAATCTAGCATTAGCAAATGTGGTTTAAACAAAATGGTTCAACATTCAAAAGTGAAATTGGGTAAAGACTTAACACAAAAAGATGATAGACATTTTGAACTCTCCTCTGCAAAATGCCACTGAACCTAGGTAAGTTGTTAATTTTAAAACTAAGTTTGTTAGATTCTTATTGTTAGAGATAACAAAAGATCTGAGCTAAAGGTTTGTGGGTACAGGTCGCACATTAACCATGATCTTGTTGAATGGCAGAACTTGCTCAAGGGTCTGAATATATTCTATTTTCAATGTTTCAATGGCAGCAAAACACGTATGATCAAGGAACATGAGTAGGCCACTCGGTCCTTCAAGCCTGCTCCACCATTCAAAAAGATCATGGCTGATCTAATTTTAGCTTTAACTGTAGATTCCTGCATATCTCCAATCATCTTTAATTCCTGTCTATCTATTTGTCTATCTATGCCTTAAAAATACAATTCTGCATTTCTGCATCCACTGCCTTTTGCGGAAGGGAATTCCAAAAACTCGGGGAGAAAAAAATTATTTCCTCATCTTTGTCTTAAATGGGTGACCTCTTAATTTAAACTATGCCCCCCACCCGCGCGCGCGTGCGCACACACACACACACACACACACACACACACACACACACACACACACACACACACACACACACACACACACACACACAGATACACACACACACACACACACACACTCACACACACACACACACACACACACACACACACACACACACACACAGCAAGAAATTTCCTTTCTACATTCACCCAGTCAAGTCCCCTCAGGCCGAGTTAAGTCGCCTGTGATACTTTCAAGTTTTAACCTCTTTATTTTAGACTGGTCATATTTTGTACTAGCTAAAGCATAAACCATAGTTAACGTACCACATCTTTCGTGCTGAAAGACTGCAGACTTTACTTCACTGAAGTATTCAATTATTGATAATCATTTGTTGCATTATTGGGTGTTTCAATACAATTTGGGCATTTACTTCTACTGTGAACACAATCCTATATAACTAACACCTACACTTGCATCTGTTTTAAAATATGTATTTTTCATCCTGAATTTCTGATCAAACTTGTTTGCTGAACCCAAAATCTGCTGTGAAAAATGCAATTGGGCAACATTTTATGAAGTTATTTTTAAAAAGAAAATTTGTTTTTAAAAGTATTGTTGGGTATATCTAAGTGGTTAATTGGTAAATTTTGATTAATACACCTAATAATTGTTTAAATAAACTTTTGAGTATCAATCCTTTGCCTGTAAGTAATATGATTTTAAATGACTAAATGTGACTTAAAATATACAAAATTATTTTCTAGCTAGCTTGAGCTATTGTAGCCAATTCCTCAAAGTGAAAATGATAATTCAATACTTTCAAAACACACCTATGAGGTTGCAGACATGCTAACCGAGCCAGTGGGTTTGGTTGCTCACGTTTCATCACCCTGCTAGGTAACATCGTCAGCGCACCTCCGGTGAAGCATTGGTGTTCTGTCCTGCTTGTTGTTTATATGCCTCGGTTTGCTGAGGTGGTCGGTATTACTTCCGGTTCTGTTTCTCAGTGGTTTGTATACAGGGTCCAATATGTTGATTACACCTTTGTGATTATTAAACGCACTAAACTAGAAGAACCCCACCAACATACAAACAACATCCTTACTGGGATAAAAATTCATGAAAGAAGAAGAGACCGACAACCAGCTACCCTTCCTATACATAATGATAGAATGCAAAAACAATGGGGAACTCCAAACTAGCATATTTAGAAGGACCGCACGTACAGACCAGATACTCAATTACACTAGCAACCACCCCAATGCCCACAAACGGAGCTACATCAGGACACTATTTAAATGAGCCCCAACACATTTCAGCGACCTGGAACCAAGCAAAGCAGAACAGGAGCACCTATACAGAGTCTTCAAAAGGAACATCACAATCCGCCACTACCTCCAAGATGGACCACAACAGGAAGGCACAACATGACCAGACTCAGCAATCACCCTACCACACATCAAGGACATTATGGAAATGACCACAAGCCTACTCAGACGCCTAGGTGTCAAGTAGCCCACAAACCAACAACCACCCTATGACAGCTACTGACGAACGTAAAGGATCCCATATCCAAAACCAGCAAAATTGGTGTAATATACAAAATACCATGCAAGGACTGTGAGAAACACTACATAGGCCAGACCAGAAGAAAACTGACAATACAGATACACAAACACCAACTAGCCGCCAAGAGACATGACCAATTCTCATTTGTCTCACTACACATGGACAGCAAGGGACATGAATTTGATTGGGACAATGCATCCATAATCACGCAAGCCAAATAGAGACATGCCAGGGAATTCCTGGAGGCCTGGTATTCCAACTGGAACTCAATCAAGAAACACATTGAATTAGACCAAGTGTACAAACCACTTCACCAAAGGCGCACTGACGTGTTACCTAGTAGGGTGATGAAACATTTGCAACCAAAACCACTGGTTTGGCAAGCATGTCTACAATGTCATCCACAACCCGAACTACGAATCTTCTCAAACATTAAAATGCACCTATTCCCCTGTGCCCACAATTTCCAGCTTGCTATTTCAGTACCAACTTAAAGGCTGGATAGGCTGGGACTTTTTTCACTAGAGCATAGAGTTTGAGGGATGACCTTACAGAGGTTTATAAAATCATGAGGGCCATAGATAAGATGAATAACAAAGGTCTTTTCCCTAGGTAGGGGAGTTGAACACTAGGGGGTATAATTTTAAGGTGAGAGGACAAAGATTTAAAAGGGACCTGAGGGGACAACATTTTCATGCAGAAGGTGGTTCGTATGTGGAATGAACTGCCAGAGAAGTGGTAGATGCAGATACAATTACAACATTTAAAAGACATTTGGACAGGTACATGAATAGGAAAGGTTTAGAAGGCTTTGGACCAGACGTAGGCAGATGGGACCAGTTTAGTTTGGGAAACCTGGTCGACATGAACAAGTTGAACCTAAAGGTCCGGTTCCATGCTATTTGACTTATGACTTTCCACAAGTGCTTAAAGCATTTGTACTGAGGACTCAAAGATGGAGGTTAGCTGTGTAGGGGTCCTGGCTTGTCCTAATTTTGTGTAACAAGGACCACTCTCGCCACGATGTTCAAAACCTACAATTCATCATATGGGCTTGTCACAAGAAACTTGTTATTGACTTCCTATGTTTCCCAGTTATTGGCTGGTAAATCTTGCTTAGGAAGATTGCTCGATATGGGGCACTGAGATGGAAGGCTGGCAGTAGATGTGTTGAGCAGATCATCATGGATCATCATCAAGTGAGGGGCAACTAGGGTGGTTTCTGGCTTGCCAGTTTTCATTAGTTAAAGGATGTGTAGGTGAGTGATGTTGCGAAGACTGGAAGACCGAGGTTTTGGGTGGAGTGTTCCTGTTATAATACACGTTGTTGCACTCAATTGAGTATTGGCAAGCTGTAATGATGACCTGTGCCAGACAGATGCACACAGTGCTCTGCTCCGGAGTGTTATTGGACAAGCGCTGAGATCCAGAATGTGAGAAACAGCACCACAATCTTGGTGGGAGTCTGCTTATAGCACAATCAAGTGCAAACTCCAGAATTTGATTATGGAGGATATTTGGGGAAGAACTGATGCCCCTATAAATACCCAGAAGGGAATTTTAACTTAACAGGTAGGAAACCCCCAAGCTGAGTTGGAACATTTTATGGCATCAATGGAAAGTAGAGTCGCGTGGGGTGTTAAACCAGCATTGCACACAATGGCCGGGTTAGTTGGCAAATTTAGGGTATAATTTCAATTAATCTCCTCAGAGTCGGAGACTCCACTGTTGTTGGAGTTGGATGCAATTCTGTGTTTGAAAGAATTTGGTAAGAAATGTATTTTTTTAAGTCCCTGATCTTCCTGGTGACATTGAAGTAAAATGAGTTTGTTTAGGTTTTACAAGCTAACTGTATACTCTTGCTTCCTCCACTGACAAAGTAAATCTTGTAATATAGCTAAAGCAGCCTTATAACTGTGTAAGGGTAAATTCAGTATTTCCAAGCTCGTGTTGGAAAACTGAGCTTCAAGGGGACCTAGCATATGACAGTTTTATCTAATTTTCTGTCAAGCTCATGAGACTTCAGATTCCAAGTGATGATAAACAGCAGCCATTTGGAAGAACACAAAGAGAATGATTATAATATCTAGAAAGTTTGTGAGGTGTGTGTGTGTGAGAGAGAGATACTTTGGAAATCCTAGTTTGTGTCCAAATGTTGGCAAGTGAGTGAGGGTGTTCTTCTGAATCCATCCTGACCCATGCCCTGGATCCACATTTGAATATGTTTTAATAGGAGTCAAAAAAGAATTTCAAGATGGTCTTTGGTGATGGTTTGCCCTTTGTAAAAGTTAACAGGGTATTTTCTTCTCATTTCAGACAGATGTTGCCAATACAATGTGTGGTTATAAAACACTTAATGAGCAAGTAAGTATTTTCTAACATTTTAAGAAATGTTTTATTTTCTTTTCCATTTTCAGCTCTCTTCTCCTGTCTCTTCTCTTAAAAGCTCAGTTTCTGGGCTGTACTGAAACCTAACACTTGTCAGTTGGGTTCACCCAAACCACTTGGCTTCAGACGTCATTACAGTCTTAAGAAAAGACTTGGAGTCGTAGAATCACACAGCATAGAAATAGACCCTTTGGTTCAACTAGTCCACACCAACCACGTTCCGAAACCAAACTAGTCCCTCGTGCCTGCATGTGGTCCATATCCCTCCAAATCTTTCCTATTTATGCACTTATCCAAATATCTTCTAAATGATGTAACTGTACCTGCATCCTCCACTCCCTCTGGCAGTTCATTCCACATACGAACCACTCTATTTAAAAAAGTTGCTCCTCATGTTGTTTTGCATTTTTATGCCCCTCATGATTTTATAAACCTGTATAAGATTCCAGATGTTTATCAAAAATGGCTCCCTTGGCTTCACAGCAGCACTTGACTGAGTGTGGCATCAAATAAACGTCAATGAAGTTTTGACAGAAAGTCTTCCAGTATTGAGTGTCATTATCTACAATGATTCAAGAGAATAATTCACAAGTAGCATTTCAAGGGCAATCAGACATTGGTGATAAACATTAACATTGTCTATGTACAGAAAATTTAATCTAATAACCTTGAATCAGTTTTTTAAGGATATTCCAAGTCCAAGCATGATGAGATGGGGCGGCATGGTGGCTCAGTGAGTTTGCACATTCTCCCTGTGTCTGCGTGGGTTTCCTCCCACATCCAAAGATGTGCAGTTTAAGTGGATTGGCCATGCCACATTATCCATAGTGCCTCAGTCTGGGTTGGATGATCTTTGGATGCTCGGTGTGGACTTGATGGAAGCAGGCCATTCGGTCCACGCTGTAGGGATTCTGTGACACCTAAATTAAACATTATTGTGCATGTTGTACTGGCACACAATGGGCAGTGATCACATAAGGACATACGAATTAGGAGCAGAAGTAAACCAGTCAGCCCCTCAAGTCTGCTCTGCTATTCAATAAGATCTTGACTGATCTCTGTGTTTTGAATTACATATTCTACTAATCCGAAATAAGCCCTGACTAAAAAATAAATGACCCTACCTCCACTGCCTTCTGAGGTGGTGTTCCAAAGTCTCTCAATCACAGGTAGTAAGGAGAAACTGGGGAACTATAGACCTGTGAGTCTGACTTCGGTTGTGAGTAAATTGTTGATGATTATAAAAGAGAATTTATGGACATTTAGAAAGGAAAAAATTGATTAGCGATAGTCAACGTGGTTTTGTACAAGGAAAATCGTGTCTCACAAACTTGATTTGAGTTTTTTGAGGAAGTTACCGAAAAGAATGATGATGGCAGAGCAGTAGATGTTGTTTACTTGGAGTTTATTAAGGCTGTCGACAATGCTCTGCATGGTAGACTCCATAGTAAAGTTAGGTTGCATGGGATTCAGGGTGAGCTTAACAATTGGACACGTAATTGGCTTAATGGCAGAAGACAGAGTGGTGGTGGAGGGTTGCTTTTCAGACTGGAGGCCTGTCACCAGCAGTGTTCCAAGGCATCAGTCCTGGGTCCTCTTTTGTTTGTCATTATATAAATGATTTGGCTGAGAATGTAGAAGGCATGGTTAATAAGTTTGCAGACGACACCAAAATTGGTGGCATAGTAGACAGTGAAGAAGGTTTTCTAAGTTTACAAAAGGATCTTGATCAAATGGGTCAAATGGGCTGAAAAATGGCAGATGGGAGTTCAATCTGGATAAATGTAAGGTATTGCATTTTGGTACAACAAACAAGAGTAAGGCTTATACAATTAATGATAGGGCCTTGGGTAGTGTGGTAGAACAGAGGGACCGAGAGATGCAGATACATAATTCTTTGAAATTTGCGTCACCTTAAACAGGGTGGTTAAAAAGGCATTTGGCAGACTTGCCTTCCTTGCTCAGTCCTTTGAGTATAGGAATAGGGAAACTGTGTTGAGGTTGTACAGGACATTGAGGCCTCTTTTGGAATACTGTGTCCAGTTCTGGTCGCCCAGTTATAAGAAGGATATTATTAAGCTGGAGAAGATTCTGAAGAGATTTGCTAGAATATTAGAGATAACAAGGTGTAGAGCTGGATGAACACAGCAGGCCAAGCAGCATCAGAGGAGCAGGAAGGCTGACGTTTCGGGCCTAGACCCTTCTTCAGAAGAAGGGT